AACTACTGAAGTCTAGAATAAAATCTTTATTCTTTACATTGACAGGCATGGTTGGTATGTATGAAGAAAAATAATTCAATTTCTGGTCTCTCCATTCAATATCCCATACTTAATTAGTAGCAGTACAACAATTAGTGCTTAAATTGAAAACTGGAGTACTTGGGGAATCCATAAGAGGTAACTCAAAATGAACTCACTGGTTCTGAAAGCAGGCTGTGCGTGCGGCTGCCTCAGATCCGAATTAAAATGTCTGACGCTAAGGAAGCGGAGCACTGAGTCATCCTGAGACTCTCCCTGCGGTCGGCTCGGCGGGTTGGAGCATCACCCAGTTCACCAGAACGTTCTCCGGTTTGACTCCCAGTCCGGGCACCCGCCCAGGCTGCAGGTTCCATCCCTAGTCCAGGCGGAGGCAACTGACTGATGTTTCTCTTTCCTCTCTCTCCCTCTCTAACTTAAGTTTCTCTTTCACCTCTCTCTTTCTCCCTCCCTCTCTATCTATCAATCAAACCAATCAAAACACATATCCTTGGGTGAGAACTTAAGATAGCTTGGCATGTCCTTCAGTTGCAAGCTCAATCCCAGGCTGGCAGGGGTGTGTGGGGTGGACTTAAATGGATGTGTCTCCCTCCCATTTCTCTGCCTCCCCCCTGTCCCTTCCACTCTCTAAAAAATCAACAGAAAAGTATCCTCGGGTGAGAATTAACAAAAAATAAATAAAAATTTTAAATTAAAAAAATTATAATAATTCACCAAGAATAACGATACTGAGATACTGCTTTGCTTTCCCAAACTAAGTATTAATAAAGGTTTCAAAATCTTGTTGAAATCAAAATATGATTGAGGACAGTAGCTAAGGGAGGCCCGTGCGGAGGCCAGCAGTGTCTCCACGTAACTGCACACCAAAATCTATTCTATGAACTTGCACCATCTCCCCGCCCACTCGGACCCCGTGCCTATGCGGAGGGCATGCCCGGGAGGACGGGAGGGCTGCGGGCCCTTCCAGCCCCTGTGGACCACATGGGCCCTGCAGCTCGCTCTGGGACAGTCTGGGACGGGCACGCCTCTGGGAGGGGCGGGTGTAATCGTGAGAGAAGGCGAGGACGTTCCCGTCTCAGGCGTGCTAACAGCCTGTACCACCCAAACCCTCCGCGGGCACCCACACCTGTCCTCCCCCAGTCCTATCTCCGCGCCTGGCACCGCCAGCCACGCCAGCCAGCCAGACCCCAGTAGCCGGCCCCGCCCTCGGCCCTCACGTCCACCCCGGTCCAGTGAGTTTACCTCCCACACGGCCCTCTCCCCTGCACCTCCGCCCCGTCCATGCCATCTCCTCCCGGGGCCTCCAACGGCCTACCTCCTCCCTCTGCCACCGCGCCTCTGGCCCCCACCCCGCAGCTGCAATGGCCCCCGGAGGGCAGGGCTGACAGGTCTCCTCCTCAGTCAAAGCCCCATGCTTCTGCAGCTGAGCCCGGGCACGGCCCCAGGAAGGCCTGTGGCGGGCCTCGGTTTCCTCTCTCGCCCACTGGGCTGCTCGGGAACCTGACTCCCTCATGTCTGCTCACCGTGCACCGGGACAAAGCACAGACAGAAAGCAGAGCACCGGGCCTTGGAGTGAGGGGACAGATGACTGATGTGGCCAGCACTTCTCACTGCCCTGAAAAGTCTCCGCACCTAGCTGACCATCAGCCTGTGGAGAGGGGCAGGGGGGACGGGAAACAGACCCCCTGTATCCTCCTCCATCGGTGGAGGGGAAAATGTACCAGCGCACTCAGTAAATCCTGACCCTGCTAAAACAGTGGCAGAGGCTGTGTGTTCCCAGAGAGCCAAGGAACCTCAGAAGTGACCTTAAAATGTTGGTACCGGGTGGAATTTGAACACACTTCCCGAGTTTCTGGCTGAAGGGACAAGGCACTCCTGCCTGACACTGCACATGCACTCAGGAACCAACGGCCAGGCTCCACGGAAGCCACTAAAAGGCGTTCAACTCCCAGCTCCTCGGGAAGCTTTCATGTGAGAGCTTGGGAGGGTCCCCTCCCACCCCCAAGCTGGAGACAGGTTCCACGCCTGCGCCTGCGCCTGCTTCCATCACAACGGAGACACCGGTGGGGGCGGGGGCTGGAGGGGAGCGGGGGGGGGGGGGGGGGGGTGAAGGTGGGGGCGGAAGGAGCTGCACAGGTCGCCCTAGGCTGAATCGTGGGCACAAAGACTGCTTCCTCGGCCAGGAACCTGGGGACAAACACCACCACCCCTCCCCTCCTGGGTGAGAGGGAGTCCTCCCCGGATGAGGGGGCAGGCAGAGCACCCTTTCCCTAGCCCCTCTCTGGGAGAGTGGGATTCCAGCCCCCTGCAGCGGGCCAGCAGGCAGCATTCATCGTCCGGCTCAGGGCCCAGACTGCAAGCTCCCGAGGCCACGGCGCGGCTCCCGCCTGCCGACGGAGGGGCCCTCAGGCCTTTGAACCAGTGGTGGTGGAAAAGCAGCAAGTAGACATTTCACTTATAGTGTCCTATAAATAGTCCCCCACTGACTCAGTTTGATTGACAAATCAATCAAAAACGCAAGGGGCCGGGTGGAAGCCCCACCCCCCAGCTGCTCAGTTGTGCCCTCTTTCTCCGTTTGCCCCTGGATCCTGCTGTCACTCATCCAGTCACACAAAGCCCCCACAAGACTCTCAGCTTGGCTGGAACAAGGAGAATAAACCTGCCCTGCCGGGCGGCTCAGTGGTTGGAGGTGGCAGGGTCTGGGCCCCGGTTGAGGGTTTGATCCCCGGGTGGAGCACGTGGGAGAGGCAATGAAATGTTTCTCTCACGTGGATGGTTTTTCTTTCTCTTTTCCTCCCTCCCTCCCTTCTCTATAAGATTACCTAAAACAAAGAGAATCAGTAACTTTTCTGAAGAGCACGTCTACGGGACTTGTTGGGATCTTCCCCTTCCACATCTCCTGAGGGCACTAGAGCACAGTGGCAAACACGGGGCAATGCGCACGGCCTCAGGACCAATCCCAACGGGTGCCCTCAGCTCTTCTCAGCCTCCTGTGCAGGTGCGTGTGTGTGTCTTTTATGAGGCAAAATCGCCAAGAAACCGTCCCCACAGAGAAGGGGGCAGGTGGGACTTTCCCAAGTGGCTCTTCTAAAGGAGAGACCTCCCAATACTGTTTTGAAGTTACAACTGTACACATTACCCTAGCCTACCTAATAAAACCCTAACACGCAAATCAGGAATAGCATAACGACCAGTGGATATGACGTGCGCTGACCACCAGAGGGCAGATGCAGGAGTTCAGCCAGAAGCCCAGCTCATGGCTGGTGGCACAGCAGCAGTGCTAAGAACCCCTCAGGGATGTCTGATTGCCCGCTTAGGGGAGCAGGCCTCAACCAGCAGTCGAACATCCGCCAAGGGGTCCCGGACTGTGAGGGTGCAAATGTCATGCACCAGGCCTCTAGGCAAAATAAAGTCTTTCAAGCGTGATTCTGGTTATTAGGATCTCACACACCACGTGATGGCTACCATCCTCCTCAACAACTTACCTATCCTCACTTGGGCAGAACATTTTCTAAATTTCTGATCCATCATAAAAAGACTGAAAGCAAAGTGAAATTACCATGAACCTGCCGTGGAAGGGCCTTGAAAAGGGAGGACATTCTGACACAGCCACAGCCTGGAGGACTGAGGACTTTGTGCTGAGCAGTGAGTCAGACGCCGGAGGACAAACACCAAGATGCACTTCCCTGAGGCCCCAGCCAGGGGCCGGGAGGAGGATGGGGAGCTGGTGTTGGGAGGTACGGGTCTTCCTGGGGGAAGGTGACAGGCATATTTTACTACACTTCCTTACAGAAATGAGAAGGACAAGTAGTGACTGGGAACTGGCTTACTGACTTTCTCCTGAGAGATCGCTCACAAGCTGAACTCTGCTCCTTTCTTTTAGCAAAACAAAGCAAAGCTCCCCTGCGGTTTAGGTGAGCTCTTGCCCAGGCACAGGGCTGGCACCAGAGTGAGGACTGTTGCTGGGTCAGTTTTGTGTCCCAGGCTTTGACAAGCCTGGTGTCACGTGCCCCGAGCATGTTTGAAATGAAGAATTTGTGTAGGAAAAGAATTTCCTGCATCATGAATGAATCATCTCGATGATGTAACTTAGGCAAAAACTAGCCTGGCTTCTGAATCTATTAGCATATTAACACGGTAACTTATTTAACCTAGCAGTAAAATAAACTACTTTAGTTCAAAACTCCTTTTAGAAAACCTAACGTTTAACAGTAGAAAAAACACTTAAGCACCGACTTTGCAGACCTTGTTTGCAAACTAGCAGTAAATTCCCTGTGTATCTTTTATTTCTACTTTTAATAAATCCAGATATTTTCTCCTCCGCGATTTACAAAGTCAATTAAAAAACTGTCCTCTCCTTTCACCGGTGAGAAGCAGGTGGAATCCATAGCTTTCTAAGAAAAGCAGCACAAAGAGGTGGCCTTGTCCCGCAACTCAGGAGAGCCGGAGCAGCCCAGGCCTGGGCGGCCAGCCACCGGGATGGCGACACCCGGGGAGGGGAGGGGTGGGGGGGGAGGGAGGGGGGCAGGGTGGCAGGAGGGGTGCAGGCCGGGGAGCCGATAGAGGCTCCTTATCGGAGGGAGATAGAGGCTCCTTATCGGACGGAGGGAGTCCGGGCCGCCCTCCCGCGGGCGGTTCAGGTCCCTGCCCCCCGCCCCCCGGAGTCCTGCTGCAGCAGCACATTCCGGCGGCCTCCCCCGCCGGGGCCCGGGGTGCGGGCCCGGGAGGCCGGGGAGGCCGGGCACCTGCGGGCGGAGGGCCCGCCCTCCGAAGCCGCCGGGCCTCCCCGGTCCCAGTTGGATTAGGAAGAAGGTCCGCGCACCGGCAGCCCAGGGGCCCAGTGTGGCCCCCAGCCGGCTGCCCTCCGGCCCCCGGGCTCACCCCCGCCCCGGTCCCGCCTCCGCCCCCGCCGGCCTCCACGGCCGGGGCCCCGGGCAGAGCCGGGCGCGGTCGGGGACACTCACCGGCTTCGGCATTTTCGGTTCCTGGTCGGTTCCTGTCGGTTCCGGCGGGGGCTCCTCGCTCCAGGGGACGCGGCGGCGGCGGGACCTGCCGGTGGGACACGGGCGTTAGCGCTGGGCGTCCTCCCGCCGACGCCGGCACCGAGACCGCGACCGGCACCGAGACCCGGACCCGGACCCGGACCCGGACCGAGCCCGGACCCGCCCCGCGGCCTCGACCGGCCGGCGGCGCTGGGCGAGTCCCGCCAACTTCGGCGCCGGCCGCGGGGCGGGGGGCCCGGGGCCCGGGCGGGCGGGCGCGGGGAGGACGCCGCCTCCAGGAAGCCGCGGGCGGTTTCACTTTGCGGAGCGGCCGTTTGCCCGCGGCCCCGACCGCAACCGCCGCCGGGGCTTCCCAACCGCCCGGCCCGCGGGCACCTGGGGGCACCTGGGGGCACCTCGGTGGCTCTTCGGGGGGCACTCGGAGCCCGAGGGACGGACGGAGGGGAGGGAGGGGTCGCGGGCAGCCGGCGCGGCCACACCGCAGGTCCGGCTCCACCTGCCGTGAATTTGGGCCCAAAAGAGCCGAGCTCTGGGGGCGCTGGACCCGACCGGCCGCGCTCGCCGGGACCCCGAACCCCGGACCCCGGGCCCCGACCCCGCCTCCCCCCCGGACCCCGAACTCGCCTCCCCCGGGACCCCGGGCCCCGACCCCGCCTCCCCTCCGGACCCCGAGCCCCCGGACCCCGAACCCGCCTCCCCCCCGGACCCCGAACCTGCCTCCCCCCCGGGCCCCGACCCCGCCTCCCCTCCGGACCCCGAGCCCCCGGACCCCGAACCCGCCTCCCCCCCGGACCCCGAACCTGCCTCCCCCCCGGACCCCGAACCCGCCTCCCCCCCGGACCCCGAACCCGCCTCCCCCCCCGGACCCCGAGCCCGGGCAGGAGCGCGGCCCGGCCCTCCGCCCGCCGCCCTGTCGCAGAGCACGGAGGCCCCCCATCCCGGCCCGCCCTCCCGCCCTCCCGCCGGCTCACCGGCTGCGGACGGGGTTGTGGACGGGCCGCTCCGCGTCGGTGCGTCTGCCGAGCCCGCCGCCCGCGCCGCCAGAGTCCCCGGAGGGGCGGGGCCTGGGCCGCGCCCTCCCGCCGCCCCGCCCCTCCGCCTCCCGCCCCGCCCCCCGGGCGCTTCCCTCCCGGCAGCCCCGCCCCGCCCCCCGCCCGCCCCGCCGGCAGCCCCGCCCTCCGCCGGCGAGAACCGCGGGGCCGGGCGGGGCGGGAGCGGCCTGGGGCGCCTCCAAGGTGACCGGACGCCCCGCTTTTTAACACAAACCGCGTGCGGGCACGCGCGGTGCCTTTGAAACTTCGTGGCCCACGTGCAGAAGCCGGTTTGGGGCCTGGGCGGGTCTGGTTTGAAGCGGCGTTAGGCCCGTGGTCGGCAAACTCATGAGTCAGCAGAGCCAAATACCAACAGGACAGCGATTGACATTTCTCTGGAGAGCCACGTTTTTTAGACTTAAACTTCTTCAACATAGTGAACCCTTCAACACCAGGCCGTGGTGTTTTGTGGAAGAGCCACACTCAAGGGGCCGAAGAGCCGCATGTGGCTCGCGAGCCGCGGTTTGCCGACCACGGTCCTACCCTGTCACAGGGCAGACTGCCTCGGGGGCACCCTCCCATGGCAGGTCCAGGGCGCTCAGAGTCCCCAGTGCAGAGGGAGGCCCTTCCTGAGATTTCAATCCCCTCTGTTTGGGCAGGTCTGTTCCCTCTGAAAGACTGACTTTATTTTTCATTAAACAGCACTGAAATGAGGATGTAAGGTAACTGATGTGGGAAGGAATCTGACTTAAGTAACCTTGGCAATTACAGTTCTGGTGGGACTTGGTCCTCCCAGGACACTATCTCCACCTCGTAACACCGCCTGGAGCCTCCTTAGACGGTACACACGCCCAGCTTCCACCCCCGGGCACTGTCTTCAAACTCCACGTTTGGGATCGCAGTGGCCCACTACCTCTACTTCTGACCTTCATCCTCAGGGAAATGCCGAAAAACGCAGAGATCGCCGGTCTAGTCCCAGCACTCACAGCGGGTCACCTTTGGCAGGTCTCTCTACTGACCAAGTTGCCCTCTTCATGTGTAGAATGGAGATGATCTTGTAAGCCTTTAACTTACTCAAATTGGACTGGAGGGGTACTTTTCCCGGGTGAGTTAAAACAGCGTAGAGCAGGCGTGTGAAACTCGCAGCCTGCAGACCGCATGCGGCCCGCAAGGACTATTTTTGCGGTCCAGCCACTATCACGGTAAGAAACGTTCTAATAAAAATTTTCTAACTTGATTTTTACAATATGCTGTTATACATCATTTTTAATAACGAACTACAACATTTGCTAATGACCGATTACTATAATTGTGTGGCATTCATTTTCCATTTGCGCACCATTTCTCTCCACTAATACCAGCAGCGAATATTCTAGCAGCCGAGGGCCACCTCATTAGTCTTGGACTGACTTATTTGGTGTGCGCGCCAGGAAATATTTCATTTTCGGAGAACAAGAAAAATAGGTTTATTTGGGTTACGCTTATTAATTTGTGCAGTTATTCTGTGTCTGGTAAGTTAATGTTCAAGAAAAAAATGTTACTTTTTATTAAAATGTTCTATAATTTTATGTCAACAATCACATTTATTTCAGCCCTATGTATTCAGCATGTCTCTATCAAAATAAACCTACGCTTCTATGACAATTGAAGCTTTTGGGTTTTTTTGTGGCCCACATACACATACAAACCCTGTTTGTTTGGCCCGGGTCAGCCTCTGAGCTTGCCATGCTGGGGATAGAATCCCGTTTTGCATATGCATTCCTCATATAGCACACATCACGTAAGCATTGCACATTACACTGACATTCCGATACAGCTCCCTCCCACGAATCCACGCACAGTGACCCAGCGCATGGGAAGTGAAAGGAAGTTAGTTAGACAGTGGCTGGTGGGGCAGGACTGGGCGATCCCAATCCCACGGTCCCTCCCCTGCACCTGTGGAGTAAGCAGGGTCCCTCTGGCAGGTGGGGTCCCTGGGCCTGGCCTGCGGGGATTGGGCCGAAACCGGCTCTCCAGCATCCCCCAAGGGGTCCCGGAGTGCGAGAGGGCACTCTGCAAAGTTGCTGTCCTACAGGGTGTGGAGCACAAACACAGTGTGCAGTGAACCCGATTCAGGGCTGACAGGGCCCAGGAACCACATAACCCTCAGCCGAAGGTGGAATCACGAGGCCCCGAGGGGCTCCTCCTCTCTGGTTTCAGGGTGCATCACCCGAGCACCACTGCTGCCAAGTCACTGCAGCTCGGCTGCTCCTGCATTGAGCATCTGCCCCTGATGGTCAGTGTGCATCATAGCAACCGGTCAGATGGTCAGGCACTTAGCTTATTAGCCTTTTACATTTATGGATCTTCTGAGGGATTTCAGGTGATTTTCCAATGGTAATTTATTTTCACACGACTTTAGAATCTAATACCCTCCCACTCCAACCCCCACAGCCACCCTGTCTCCCACCCCACCCCCAACACACACAGAAGACAACGCCAAGAGATCCAGGAGCGCCTGCTGCGGAGGCGGTGCTGAAACTTCGGTGGGTGTGCCTTTAGCCGCTCCCCCTTAGGAACTGGGAGTCGTTAAGTACCAAACTGGGAGAGCCCCTGCTGCAGGGTGTGGCACAGCTTTATCTGGCCTCTCTCTCCCCCTGGGCTGGTCAGTCCCGGTCCAGTTCGTTTTGATCTCAGTGCCAAGAAGGAAGTGAGGAAGTCTGGAGCCAGGAGTCTGGGTCACCCTTCCTGCTCTCCTTGTGACTTCTGACCTTGAACAACTCTGCTCCAAGTGCAGGGCCTGAGCGTTTCAGCCGGAGGAGGGAATCAGGTGCACGCCTGAGCCCGAGGGGGTGCTGGGAGTTCAGGCAGGTGACCCTGAGGCGGCCGGCAGCCCTCAGGCGCCTGCAGGCCTGGGGCAAGGACGGGCGGTCACAGGACGGCCCCTCCCCGGCTGCAGGCTCCCTATTCGGCCACCGAGGCCGTCTCCTCCCGGTGCCGGTGCCGGTGCCGGGTAAGCTCACCCCGGTGCCGGGTAAGCTCACCGTGGGAAAAGGTCACAAGTAGCTGACAAGCTCCAGAAGAACGTACTTAGGCCTGAGAGCGCTATAGGGTACCCATGGCAAAGGAAGGATTGGGGGTGTTATGGGGTCGGACCCTGGCTTCAAAATAAGACCACCAGGTTAAAATTCAAACAGCAGTTTTTACCTGAGATGAATATTCTTAATGTCTTATTTCAGGGGTATTTGTCAGGACCCCGGCCGGCTGCAGAAAGCTGTGGTAAACGGTGCTGGGAGCACCCTGTGTGCCTTTCTGTGGCCTGAAATGTAACGTGTTTGAAATGTAACATCGGGTGAGCCTGCCGGCGGCAGAGATAGCAGATAAAGGGAGCTACGCGTTTCACGTGATATTATAGAGCTGCATGAGCTCACTGTGCAAACCCTGGCCCCACGTGCCAGTTCCCTCCGACCCGGAGGGGCAGCAGCCTCGCAGTGTGGCTCAGTGTGGGTGAGAGCAGGGGTTGGGGGAGCACGGATGGGGAGCACTCACGTGGCCCGACAGGTGGCCACTCGGCCTGGACTCTTCCCAGGACAGTGAATGAGAAGGAAGGAGCCTCTTGGTGCTATTTTTAAAAAAATATTTATTTGTATGGTTTCAGAGAGGAAGGGAGGGGGAGAGAGAGAAACATCAGTGAGAGAATCATGGATCGGCTGCCTCCTGCCCACCCCACCTTGGGATGGAGCCTGCACCCCAGGCCTGTGCCCTGACCGGGGATGGAACTGTGTCCTCCTGTTCATAGGTGGACCTCTGAGCCACGCTGGCCAGGCTCTAGATGCTCTTGGCTGGTACACTTACATAATTTGGGTCTGCTCAGAAAGATTCTGGACACGAGGATTCTATTTTAAATAATTTGCCTAAATAGCCATAATCATTTTTATGGAAAAGGGTACTGATGACTGCAAA